TCTAGTTGTTAATTGGAAATTCCAAATTTATAATTAACAAAATTAAGGTTAATTTAGGAGTTCCAAAGCATAATAGTGCCATTTTGACCTTCTTCCTATTTCTCATGTAAATTTTAATAGCAATCAAACTAACAAACTTTATGGAGTCTGTAATAAACTTTTGTACTACTACTACTACGTCTGTAGTTTCTAGTTGCTCAAAAAAATTTGCTCTGCATTGTGAATAGAAGGTTGATTTGTAAATATTATTGGGTATATATGTAAGTTAATAATAATATGAACAATTTCAATTGAGATGGTCCACAAGTTTTTTTCGTGTGCGTTTTAGTAACATTTTGCTGAAATGGTGAATACAGAATTTTTTGCACTGATTCCTAATGTCGAAATATGATTAGTAAGGCGTGGTATATTCCTGATAATTTACTATGCTTTTGATAGAATTTACAGCAACACATATCTTGTACGACATTTTTTGATAAATCAGTCACAATAGCTTGATACGGCCCTGTAGCGTCTCCTACGGTTAAGTTCTTGATCACGTGCAATACGGGTGTATATGTTTGATTTTACTTTATTTCTTCGATGGATACAGTTTAATTTAATTATCAAAAGAATTGTTGATAATGTCTTCCGTCTGCTAGAATACAGGCTTCAATTCTCTTTCTCATGCATTGGCGAACCCTTTTAAAACCCCAGTAGTATTTGTTATGGTTTGGCAAGAAAGTAAAATTTTCTGTCTTAGTTCCTCTAAAATTTAAACCGGTGTACTATAAAATAGTGAAAATAAAATAAGAGTGTGTAGTGTCAAATTAATTCGTTAGAAAATGGTCTCTTAGAAAAAGCCGGCGAGCCGCTACTTTCTTTTTGAAAAAATCAAGTAAGCAGAAAAAAATCAGTGTTGGTAACTTTTAGAAAATCCTTAAAACAACTGTAAGGTCGTTCGCTCCAAAATCGTATTTTCCGTGTTATTTTGATCAAAAATGAAGCGATTTACAGGATCCAGGCATTCTAGATTAAAAATTGAAAATAAAAATGACTTTATTTGTCAAGGATTGACAAGTGAAGCGTTGTGAGTTCAGGATGTCATTCACGATCGAAGTAAGTAAAAATATATAGGGTGTCCTATTTAAAAATCGAAGTTGGAGTCGTTTCCGGTCAACTTCATCTGTAATACGCAACCCACAAATTTCGTTTTCTATCTTCAATAATAAAAAAGGTATAGGGGTGAGCCATCATCAAAAGTCCCAGGTATTGAACAGTATTTCAAAAATATGAGAAAAAACATTGAGCTAATTTACTTTTGCATACATACTAATATAACTAACGATTTCGAACCGCTCCCTGAGTAGATTGTTAGCCGACATATTGTACAACGGCGATTTGCTATCTATCTTGTGGACGATTGTCGTTGGCCAAATGAAGAAGATCTTGTCTTCCTCTCCATCACCCCTACCTGAAACAACTTTTGTTCAATATAAAAACTGCACATTAGAGCTAAAACAAGAAAAACAGCAACGTTTCTAAGGTCGAATGTCCCTTTTTTCAATTACGTGTTTGGAACAGTATTCCAAATCCTTTTATCTGATTAATTCATGGCGTGTGACTAAAAAAAACAATATTATCAATATTTTTTCCCCAGAAGATGCACTGTTTGTGCATTTTTGCTCATTGCTTAGCTACTTTGACGTGGCTAAATCTGCAAGTGATGAATATACCGTTTAAACATACAAGAGTCCTGAATAATATAGATGAAGTTCAACAGTTTTTAAGATGGAGAAAACCACTTGTATTATGTCTTACCGAAACACATGCTACAGAAGACATCACTGATGGTGAATTAGAAATTACTAATTATAAAACCTACAGATGCAACTCCAACTCCAGACATACTGGAGGTGTAGTGATTTATGTTTACCACAAAATACAGATCACATTATTCGATTGTACCACTTTAGACTATGCATACTGGTATGCACATATACAGTTCAAATTATTTGGGAAACGTTATGATCTTTGTACTTTTTACCGTTCACCAAACAGTGATGCGGATGCATTTTTAACGTTTTTTGAAGAAAAATGCGAAGAAATGTGGAATTTTAGAAACAATATAATACTTTTAGGTGATTTTAATTTAAATTATTATGGTAAAAGCATGAAAACAAGAAAATTGAAAGAAACCATAAACACTAAGGGTTCAAACAAAAATTGAAGTAAGTACCAGAATAACATCATTATCAGAGACTTTGTTAGATCTTGTTATTGTAAATTTCGAATGTGCAGGGATTAAAGCTGTACATACACCTAAAGTTAGCGATCACAGTTGGACAATGCTGCCCTTAGTAGGGCATTCTTCTTATACAAAAATTAAGAAAATCGTAAATACTATCAAGTACGAAAAACTTGAACGAGAACTTGCTGGCTGCTATTGGAATTTTGGTGAGAATATGGAAAAAATATATGACAACATAATAGGAAATATAAAAACTTGTTTAGATCTTGCAACTGATAAAAAAGTGATTTCCTCGACAAAAAATACACCCTGGTATAACAAGAATATTAAGGCAGCTCAAAATTTGAGAGACAAACAATACAATAAATGTAAAATCAAATGATGATTGGGAGGTATATAAAACTCTTAGGAATAAATGTGTATATGTAATTAGAGAAGAAAAAAGGAAATTCTACGATAAACAAATCGATAATAACAAGTGCGACAGTGTAAAGATGTGGAAGACTTTAAAAAGACTGATCAATTCGGAGCCGCATGATTGTGTAAATCAAGTTCAATTCGAAAACGGTACCGAAACAAATTCTTTGGTGATTGCAAACAAACTAAATGAATATTTTGTGGAAAGTGTTGTTGATATTGTGGGTACTGCCAATGCTGCACCTGACTATATGAAAATCAGTTTCCAGGGGGAAATGTTGCATACACTTTCAAAATTTCACAGCGTATCATTGAATTATCTAAGAAAAAAGTAAACAGTTTAAAATCGAATAACAACTGTGCCGAAATCACTACTAAAACGTGCTGAAAAACTATTTCGAAATTTTGGGATATCCTGTATTAAATTGGATCAATTGTTCACTGAGAAGCAGTTCTTTTCCTGAAAATTTGAAATGCTCTACAATAACACCAGTTCCAAAATAAAAAATTCTAAAAGATGTAGCAATATGAGACCAGTAAATGTATTACCAGACATTGAAAAATTTTTAAAGTCCATAGTGCATGACCAATTAATGCAGTTTATAGAAGAAAACAAAAGTTTAGTGGAGGTGCAAGCAGGCTTTCGAAAAAAATATTCCACAGAAACGGCTTTCCAGTTGGTAACTGAGAGAAGAGAGAAGAAGTTGTCATAGCAGTATTTTGGATTTGAAGAGGGCATTTGAAACGATTGATAGAGATATTTTGTTAGGTAAATTGAAGGCATATGGTATAACAGGAAGTGTTTTAGATTGGTTTAGAAATTATTTGTCTAAAAGGATGCAAGTTACAAAAGTTAATGTCACTATTTCATCAAAAATTGAAAATACATTGGGTGTTCCACAGGGCAGTATCCTGGGACCACTTCTTTTTATTTTACACATAAATGATTTACCTGCCATAGTCATAAAAAGCAAAATTCAGATTTTCGCCGATGACACTATGATTTATATAAGCACTAAAAATATTCAGTCTGGTATCTCTTATATAAATGAAGACTTGAAGCTTGTCTCAAAATGGTTAGCATCTAATAGACTAAAATTAAATGCAAGTAAAGCCTTGTTAATCGGAAAAAAGCAACGTACAAATGTTCAACTGAATATTGATGGTGAAGATATTGAATTCGTAGAAAATTTTAAATACCTGGGGTTTTTTGTTGAGTCTCGATTAATTTTTGATATTCATTATGAAAAAGTGATAAATAAGATTAGTAGTAAAGTGGGATATTTATCGAGAGTTTCTGGATGTCTGACTTCATATAGCAGAAAAATTATCTATAATACCATCATTCTTCCAAATTTCTTGTACTGTTCGACTATTCTATATTTAGCAATAATTCCATTTTTGAAAGACTGCAAATTTTACAAAATAAGTGCATGAGAATAATACTAAATAAAGATAAATATACTCCAATTAGGCAAATGCTTAGCAAATTAAAATGGCTCAATGTAAAAAATTTTATCAAATATCTTGTAATGATATTCATTTATAAAGTAAAAAATAATATATTTCCATCAAGTCTAACTAATTTAACATCATCAAATGTCGACCATCATTTACATAATACCAGAAATAAAGATGACTTCCATTTAATGACCAAAAAGTATAACATATGCTACAAATCTGTATTCCGTCAAGGGTTGATTGAATATAATAAATTATACTCGGAGATAGAAAGACCAG